CAACTTCAAACTCTACTGGCAACATAAGTGTTTTAAAATTGCGTTTTACGCGGAGCATGTCCATGAACAATGCCTTGTGTCAGGCTCAACCTCACACAGAGGCACTGGGCAGCTCTTGCTACAGCCTGCACTGCATTCAAAGGCACACTCTGAATTTTAAATAAGTTTATATAATTTTGTACCTGATTTTTTGTGGGCCTCTCAACTAAAATAATGTCACAACTTTGAATTTATAAAGAATATTTGGGTACTTTCAAGTGGCATCAACCTTATTTACACTTGCTTAAGTAGAAAATATAAAATAAAATCAAATTTCTAAAGTCAAAGATAAAAGTGATTTCTCTTGAGTACAGTAGCAAATGGGGAAGTTTAGAATTTTAGCAAATGTTTCCATTCAACAAATTCTAACATTACGCACCATGTTTCCTGACAGTTATCATCTACAAATTTTAGAATCTCAAAAATTAATCTGGTCCCATTTGCTATGGTAAAGGTACTGACATCATACACGTCTTTCAGGTCTAATATCTACCAGGTATGCCAGCCTCCTGCTGAATTTGTTACTGTTAATTTCCTCACCTTCATGGGGAATCATATATAAAAATAGAATAAAATTACCATTAAGAGTTATAGGTACACTCTCCCGAAACGGAACACTGAGGACAGAATCTTGCCAACCTGTGAAACGCAGTTATCGTACCAGCCAGACCTCACTGCCCTAATGCAGGGTCATTCTCCTGTTAAAGACGTGGGAACAAACACTAGAAGGTGCCATGGACGGTGCAATACAAACCCTCAGAGGCTGAGATCCCTTTCAGATTCAGCCAATAATACTTCAAACCAATTGTGTTCAAGCAAAAATAAGTCAAGAACATCTAATATCATAAGTAGGCCATCAACTTTCTCTGAAAATTTGCTTCAAATAAATATTATAAAAGTCAGAAAATTATATAAACCATCTTCAAAGCAAAATTGTATTAAGGCAAAATTGGATAATGTTATAGACTCAACAAAAACTGTTTTGTGAAATGTCGAAATATTTTTAAAACAGACAGCATTCTTTTTAATAAAACAATTTTCTATTGCTAGTTATAAAAAAAGTAAAAGTTTTGATGGCTGGGTAGCTCAGCTAGTTAGAGTGTCATCTCCATACACCAATGTTGTGGGTTCAATCCCTGGTCAGGGCACATACAGGAATAAGACATTGAATGCATAAATAAGTAGCACAACAAAAAAATATCTCTCTCTCTCATCAATTAAAAAAATAACATACTCTCATTATTTCATATCATAAAACTACCCCAATGTTTCTGGAAACTGATTTTTTAAAAATAATAATAAATAAATAAATTTTAAAACAGAGTATTAATAGATACCTAATCCTATCACTTCTAATATTTTAAAAGACAATCACTTTTATTACTTAAAAAACTCATGACTATTTTAAATTATAGAGGAAAACTATCACTGGATAAAACTTTCATTTCTAAGAAACACTGAAATTTTTCTTCTTTCTGGTCATTTCGTTCTCCCCAATGTGTAGACCTGTGGTTGCAGAGTATGCCACCTCCTGCATGTAACCTTCTTAACCTGAAAGAGTTTTGCGCAGGGAGGAGGGCGACTGTTGGAGACGACACACCCGAACAGGTTGCCCGCAGCAAGAGAAGCTTCCGCGCCCTGCATGGCTGCCACCTGCACGCCTGCAGCGCTCTGCTCAGCACGTTACGCTGGCAGCTGCTTCACGCCTCGCTCTCCTTTACCTGTGTAGCGCACATTGGCAACTTTTTCACATCTAGTGATTAGTTCTCTGGGTGGGGAGAGACAGAGGCATGTCCTTTAAGGCAACACCTTCAGTTACGTCTACATTCACATAATAAAAAATATATGTAGCACGAATCTTCTCATTTGTCTTTATTTCTTCCAGGTAACTTGTATTTATAAAATACCTTAAATTCCATTTTAGTAAGTGAGGAAAACTAAAATGCAAAGACAAATGGCAAAGCATTCCTGAACAATCCTTTCCTACTATCATCAACCTGATGTAAGACAGATGTTTAATTTAAGCACATTTAATGCAAAAAAATAAAAAAGTAAGGAAGTAGGTTAATCTCAGAATCATCCCTGTTTCATCCCAACATCTGCTTGCTGGATATCTTTAATCTTAAAAGATGTCTTCCTGAATAATTATTCCTGGGAAATGAATTTTGAGAAATCATAGAGGTTTTCTGTAGTTAAAACACCTGACTTTAAGCCAAAAATCTGACTTTAAGCAGATTTGGAAAAAAATACTATTTTAGAAAACTCTAATACTCAGTGGGTTAACTCTGTTTTAAAATACAATTTTCTTACACTAGAATTAGTGATATTTAAGTTGTGATGGCAATAAATATGGAAGCCACAAAGATACTAAAACAGCAGCTACCACATCCTGAACCCGTCTGTGCAGGGCAGTCGTGCTGAGCACACAGACCACATGACCACGTTAAGTCCTCCAACCCAGCCCACCAGGAAGGTCCCAGCCTCGGTTCCACCAATGAGGAAACCGAGGGCTTGGAACATTCAGTATTTTACCTACAGCCAAACGGCTAAGGGGGGTCAGGGTTTCCATCTAGGGCTCATATACTGTAGGCTACGAAGCTGTCCAACAATGTATAACCTTAGAAGCAACTCCACAGACAATGGAACCCTCAGGGACAGCCTGGAGCACTACTGTCTGGCTATCATTTATAACCAAATTGGATAATTACCCCAGAACACAATGCAATGATGAGAATAATGGCTATGCTTTCTTTTCTCGAAATACATTCATCTAAGAAAGACAGGGTAGTTTCAAAATAAGTATCACCTTATGATATAAACACATCACCTTATGATATAAACACATATTAAAGTTTGTCAGAAGAAAGTTAAATGGCCTTCTCGAGAGCTGCACAGGAAACACTATAATAAATGCAAGATCAAAACCGAGAGCCTGCCTCATAGAGGTCCCCTTTCAGGCTACAATCAAGCCTTCCTTCTCCACTCTTCAAAAAAATGTCTTTCAACGAAAAACTTAGAGATTTTAAAAAGCTATTCAAGGAAAATAACAAAAATGAACAAAAGTCATATCAAGGGAACGCCACGCCCCAGGTTTCAGTTTGATTACAGACCAATCTGGCAAGTTTGGACTAAGATTGCTGTTTTTGTGAAAGAGATTTGTAAGATCAAGGGAAAAGATATCACAAAAAAGGAAAAGAAGTGAAGCAAAAGATTTAGGTGAGAAAAGAGAAATAAAAGAGGACTTTTGTACAGAAAAGGTAGACAGAGGTACAAAGGTTTGAAGGCTTTTGCGGGGAAAGGCAGTATAAGGGTACAGACTTATTTGGCTCCATGCCAAATAAGTGTGACTGAAACTTTGCTACCGACCTTACTGAGTGACCTTGGATAAGTCACTTTTCTTTAGTTTCTTCACCCCTATAATGAGAATAACAGTAGCTATCTCAAAGGAGCACAGTGAGCATTAAACGTTACATGTACAACTTAACACAGTGCCTAGCACGTTAGTGTTGTTATTGACTATTATGAGGAATAATAATTCCTCATAATATTTACTGCAGAGGCAGAAAAGGCAATAAACACAGTCCCAGGTTTCCGTAAAGGGATCTGCTGAGCCTTTTCTAACTGTATGCACACGCCAGACTAATGGAATCAAAATCTGACTCTCACGTAGTATATGCTGAAGGTCCTGTTTACAGCAACTGAAAAGTTACAGTATTATGTCTGCTCGAACTTTGTTTTCCTTAACTTGTCTAGACTTTAAAGGTGCATTTCAACTTTTCCAAGAGGCCACTGGCAAGCAATGGACAAGAATTAATATAACCAACCCAAACCACAGACATGTAAAACAGTTAAATTTTGATCCCAAACAAATAAACTCTTGTTGCAAGTTAAGTATTTTATTAAACTGAAGCAAAGTCTGATTTTGATATATAGAATACTATTTTATTCTTTATTTTAAACCTTTCTTACATGTTTAAAAATATACAGGGGTTCAGAACAACCTCAATAAAATGATGACATTTCTACTAAAGGACCCCTGGAGTCAAACCACAGTGCGCAACATGGTTGGCTTCCGTGGGCACGGTGCATTGATACATTTCATAAAGCAAACAAATCAAAAATGTTGAGAAGAAAAATACTCAATGGTTTGATATAAATTTTAAAATATCTGTCAGGCAGGAAAATTATGGTAAAAAAGTAAGATTTAGATGTTTTACCACTCATACCTGCTTCAGTACTAATTCCCAAATGCCATTTGCTACATCTAAACCCCTGACAATTATTACACAAGTCTATGTAGCACACTAAAAAATAAGCTAATTTAACCTCTGAATATGAAAACAGATCATTACAAAAGAAAATACTGAAAGCTCTTACCTGTATTTCATAATTAAGTATATTATATTCTCAGCAGCACTAAGAATGCATCTTGGTCTAATATAAATAAATAACAGCTACACAAAAGTATTTTTCTCTTAAAAGAAGTTTTTGTATATTTTTTCCAATGTTGGTGACTTAAGCAACATTGATCTATAATTTGTGCTAGGAAACTTTAGGCACAGATAACATAATTTACATTTTCTTTGTTGTAAAAAATATAGTATATGCAAACACATATCACACAAATGATTAGTGGACAGAACAGTAAGTTTTGTAGAACTAAGACAAAAGTGTGACTATTTTACTCTTAAAAAAAAAAGACACATCAAATAGCTGTACAAGGGATGCCTCACTTCTGGGTGAGTACTCCACATCTGCATTAGAATTATTTGTGGATTGTCTTAGAGGAAAACAAAGCTTTACTGTAGCAAAAAAGACACCACTTTGGGCACATGAAATAATTTAAAAGAACCAGAAGAAAATGTTTTCAAAAAGTCATTAAAAATATTTAACACAATATCTCAAACAGGTTATTGATTGCTTTGTTGAAAGGAATAAATTATTTAACATTATGGTTGCTTTATACAGTAGATTCTTTCATTAGCTAAGACACTTCTGGATTAAGGTACCAAAGGATGCAGATGAAGAAAAATACAGCAGGCTGCCAGGAAGGAGGGTTGGGGAGCATAATTTTACCCTGATAAAATAAAAACACTGTTTCTTTTTGCTTGTGGCAGAAATTTTGTGCTGCAGAGATTATAAAAACACCAGCAAAGGGGTTGCGTGGCAGGTACTAACATACAGCACTTACTGTTCATCCTCCGTGAGAGACCACTTACGAATTTCCTATCAGTGTGCTCAAGTACACTTTGAGGCCAAAGATTATACTTTGCCACATATATAATATGTAGCGCTTTTCTACAGAGGGCAACTGACATAAGTAATTTCCACAAATACAACGAGAGCGAGAGAGGGACAGAGACAGAATGAGGGACAAAGACAGAGGAGAGAGCTCGGTCAGACCGAGAGGCGCCGAGGGGCTGGGCCCCCGTCCTGTGGAAGATCTGAGAGACTTTGGTCATCCCCGGCGCTTGTGTTTCCTATTCCTGCACGTTTATACTCACACGCTATAATTATCTCATGAGATTACTCTCTATACCTCCTTCTCTTTAGTGTTTTTCCTCTGTAAAAAAAAAGGGGGAAAAAGAAACCCTTAGTCCCTTCATCTCATAGTCAACTATTCAAGTAAATATTTCTTTTCTCTAGTGGCAATTTTCCAGGTGAATCAAGACTGTGATCCAAAAACCACTGTCAGATTACACTTGATTTACTGTGCAGTTCCCTTCAAATGGAGCAGGAATTGGCCCGTTTCCTAGGCTTGGGGTCCCGCGTGTCCTGCTCTTTCAGGCACATGCAGGACGTGCACATCGTCTCGGACAGCCTTCGGAGGCCCAGCCGGAAAACGCTGTTGGAAAGGCTGTATATTACACAGTTGCAAAAACTGTTACTTATAGCAAGCCAAGTTGTTAGGAAGGACAGTGTGGGATTGTCCAAGACCCGGGAGCTTTCCAGCAGGAAGTAAATGATGTAGGGGAGCCACAGCACGTAGAATACACTGGTTATCCGAAACAGGACCATGGCGTAGCGCCGGTCGGGGCTGTGCCCCGTCTCTCCAGAGGCATCCACCTCATGGCTAGGGAACCGGGCCCTCCGGTCATGTATCTCTTTGGTGTGCTGCCGGCAAATTTTGAAAATGTGGAAGTAGGTGAAGCAGACAACAAAGGCAGCGGGAGCATAAAGTAAACAAACAATAAAGCCGGTGAAATAGGCACTGGTGAGCCAAGAGGTGGCACACCATTCAAAAATGTCCCCGTGGTAACCTGGCTTCCCCCAGCCAAAAAAGGAAGGCAAGAAAATTAGGCAGGAGTAGATCCAGATTAAAATGATGCAAATCCTCAGGCGACAAGGGGTGACCAGTTGGTTGTAGGAAAGAGGCTTGGTGATGGCAAGATAGCGATCCACACTTATGCAGGCGAGGCATGCCATGGAGACACTCTTCAGAACCGAGATGATATACCCAAAAACCTGGCAGGTCAGCGACTCGTGGATGCCTGTGGAGTAGTGGAGAAGCGAGAGGGCAGGGACCAAGCAGCTGACGCCCACGGAGAGGTCAGCATACGCCATCGTCTGGATGAAGTAGCTGGTGGTATAATGGTGTAAGAGTGGGGCACAGTGAAAGACAAAGATGACCGTTAAATTCCCGGCTATGATCAGAAACGTCAGCAAGACAATAACCACTGTCTCAAAGATGCAGACGTCCACGGCACTGTAGTGGCCAAATCCAAGGGGGCAGGGGTGACGCTCGGACACATTCACAAGGCCGCTGCTCAGGTTCGGGATCCTCCATTCAGTCCACCTGGATTCGTTCATGGCTTGGAATCAAGGGAACCTGCAGCCGTGGCTACAGCAAGGCGGTGCCTTGCCCAGCATCTGTTAAACTCTGCACCTGAGTGTCTCAGACGGGCTTCGGGAGACGGCGGCGGTGCTTCTGTCACAGCGGAGCATCCCAGGTGGGACTCAAGTCTCATCAGCCTCTGTGCAGCAGTGGCACACCTCAGCTTTGGGGGGGATGCGGAGGGGGGAAAGCGACAGAGGAGGTGGGAAAAGGCCACTCATTAGCTTCCTCTGGTGGTCTCAAAGAACTTTTTGCAGACACAAGGCACTTCTAGAGAAAATGGATTTATTACCTTGCACTATGAAAAATTAAATCTGCAAAAAGAAAAAAAAAATCAATTGCCAAAGGAAGCAAAGCATCTGTGGGCTGTCGTCCTCCTCACAAAGGCTGTTTCTTAGGGATCAACTAGAAAGAATGAGAGAAGAAAAAGTCTGAAATTGTCTCAGGCTTCCTGTTTCAACTATCATAAGTGGGTTCACATTTTAGAATTTAAATAACTAAGATCTCAGATTTGGTTGGAAAGCTAACAAAAAGTTCACTGTGACAAAGCGTGTCTTTGGGCTCAGTTGAGGGTTTGATGCTGGTGGGTCAACTTTATGATCCATTTCTCTCTCATTTCTTTAAAAAGCTAAGAACCGCCACCATCACCCCCTTCCCTGAAAAGGTTAATTCCCAAAGACTCATCTGTGTTCGGGCACAAAGGAGCAGAACAAAGATTGCCATGCAGCTTTAATGAGAAAAAATAGATATTTCCAGGAGGGAAAATTAATATGCAATGGGTTAACACCTGACAAAATATGATAAACTTGTGAACTTTTCATTCTGCCTGCATTTTTTAAAGCATTTAGAAGGAAACAGTCTATTACAGTTACTGGTACTATCACCAACAATGTAATTTATACTTCTTCCTTTTCAAAAAAATCATTTTTCCTATTAATTTCAGCATCATTAACTTTCACTATCTGATATGTCCCTTTCCTTACGATGAAGCATGATCATAAAATACGCAGCTCAAAGTTATTATTCCCCGTGCAACCACACCTATATCTCACATATTTTTTGTGAATTTAGAGGACATTTAGACAATAATAGAAACTCTCCTCTCTACTGTGAGCTTATTTGACTGGAAATGCTGCCATTATGTATTCCTTGGGTATTTCTAGTAGGCATCATAACATATGCTATTCTACCTTTTCTATTTTCATTAGATGATTAACACATTAAATCATTACTTCAACTAAATCTTCTGAAAGTGGAAAATTACCTTGTTTGTTATTTTTGCAGTTATGTAGCAGCCATATGTTTAAAAAAAAGTCTCTTCTATTTCTGCGTTCTATTTTGAGCAAGTGCTCAATTAACACAGGGGCCATTAGGTAGGTTGTAAAATGGTCTTGTTTTAAAATACCTCTAATGCATCAAGATGAGCTTAAATCCTAGAGTCCGAAATACTGAAAGGCTGGCAAGACAGAATCCACCCAGAAGGCTTCCAAGGTCGTTCTGGTATAAGGTTAACATTGTCAAAAGTCCCTGTTAAAGTGCAGGCATTTCGGAGAGTCGCTTGTCAGCCTTTGTTGTCATGCCTTTTGAAGAAATACCATGCATTAAAAATACAGACATTTCCTCAGAAACAATGCAGCAGCACTCTTCTGAAAGTTATTTTCTCGTGCATCACCAAGTCATTCAGGGAAGTCCTTCTTCTTTTAAAACCGTCATGGGATATTCCTCCTTGCACAATCCCAGTTCCACTTGTCACAAAATAGTTCTCCTGTTACAGGAATGAGGCAGTGCCTCTCACCTACATGCACTCCCATCAGCTGCCGGGCTGGGCTGCTGGATTCAGAAGTCCGGCTCGCTGCGATGCGGCTCCCAGGATGCTGTCGGGTGTTCTGCACAATCCCTCAGCATCACTGCCTCCACCTGAGCCGGAGCCTGGCCCCTCCTCCTCGTCCTGAGCTGATGCAGAAGAGCTCACCATCAGAAAGGTGACTCGGTCCTCCTGCCCCAATCAACAGCACAACCAATGGCTACTGCAGCTGAACTGTCACTAGGTAACAGTTGCCAGGCACATGCAGGCTTACAGACTTCCTCGGCAAGCTCCGATTAAGATTGACAAAAGAAGACAATGGGACTGACCGATCCTTATAACATATTAATGGCATGTATGGACCTCCAGAGGTATTCTCCCTACAGCCTTTGTAAAGATCATTTCCTGGGGACAGAACAGGGGGAAAAAACAACAAAAACTGGGATACACCTTTAAACCCTGCAGAGAAACTACCACAAGGCACTATGACACTAACCAGTCAGCAGTAATCTAATGCTCACTGGCAGAAAAAACTTATTAATTATTAAAAATCAGCTAAGTCTTCATGAACTCAAGTGATGTGCCAACTATTTTATTTTCTAAAATAGTTATACTTTGATTAACAGTGGTTAAAAATCACTTAACAATCTCTCTAATCCCTGCCACACCCACACTAAATTGCTGAATTTGATGTATTTAGCTGTACAAACAAAACATTGGAACTAACACCTGTATACTAAAATCCATTTGGGAAAATATTTAAGGTCAAATATGACCTCAGAAGAGTAGGCATTAGAAATAAGCAGAATGCTTGTTTAGTCCACTTATTTATCCTAACACAAAAAAGATTCAAAGACTTAAAGAACTGTCATACAGTGCCTTAGTTTCCCATACCTAAGTTCAAAGAAAGTAAATTAAGCTCATTTGATAGAGGTTAAAATCATTTCCATTTATTTTGACTCACATCGACAAACATTCACTATTTTAAGCATAATTCTCATAGGGTCAGTACTCTTCTTAAAAGTGACTTAGAACTAATGTACCAATCATTTCAGAATTAATTAGAAAACGTATGATGAAAATGGAAGATTAGCATTTGTTGAGCACATTCCATGTGCCAACCATTATACTGTGTGCTCATACATATGTTTTTCTCTGTCAAACCCAGCTCTCTGTGGTGTAGGTGCCACCACGGTCCTTTTCCAAGGGAAGACAGTGGGTACCAGAGAAGGTAAGTATAATTGCCTACTATTACAGACTCAAGAACCTAGGATTGAGACAGCTCACAATTGTCATTATTAGCACCCTACTGATAAACCTTGTCCTCTTCTCCTCTCCTTTCCGCTGATGGCTGCTAGTCAAGAAATGTCAAAGGAGAATTCTTTTGGATTTCAAACAACAATTTGTAAAAAATAGAAAGCCCTATTCTTTCCTTCATGTTGAACTGAGTTTCAGGAAGAGCACATCATTGCTAAAATTGTCAGAGTTTAGGTGGAAGAGAACGGAACTGCATTTTTCATTACCAGAAAAATTTATAAAGCAAGTTAGAATAACAATCTTAGAACAATAAAGTTGAGAGCTTGTTTGGAGGTTCTAGCAGGGGAGCGCAGCTACTCGTATACCCTTGACCGAAGACAGGTCCTCTCCTCTACTTGGGAAGGTCGTCCTCCTCGACCGAGCGTGCAGCTTCGGGAAGGACGCACATGGATCGGTGAGGGAGGAAGGGGACACCTACCCAGCCGGCCAGCTCAGCCGAATCAACCCTGGCGATCAATGGAGTGACAGATGTCACAGCCAGATTGCCCTCAGATGTGTTACAAATACTTTCCTATTCTATTACTTGTCCTTTAACTTTTTTATACATATATTACTGTACAGTCTTAAATGTTTAATATAGTCATATTGTCAATATTTTACTTTATAGCTTCTGGGTTTGAATATTATACTTCAGGGTAAGAAAAATATAATTTTGTATTTTCTCCTGAAACTCCTTAGACTCTACATATTGATTTTTAACTCATCTGAATATTTATTGTATAATGTGTGCAACACGGCTCTATATTTGTTTTATTTCAAGTAACAGTGGTCCATGCACCTTATTTGTTGAATAAGCCTTATTTTACCCATTGATCTGAAATATCAACTTAATCATATATTACATTGCTAGGCAGATATATATGTTTGTCTCTAGAATGCTCTTTATATTTCATTGATCTACTTGATTATTTCTGTGCTGATGTCATGTTGGTTTAATTGCTGAGACTTTATATTGGTTTTAATTTTTTTAATATTTTATAATGAACTTTGACATTTAAAAAAATAAATAAAATCAATCTGCATTCAAGAAAGAAAGAAAGAAAGAGAGGGAGAGGGAGAGAGAGAGATGGAACGCCTACCTTTTGTGACAACATGGATGGAACTGGAGAATATTAAGCTAAGTTAAATAAGCCAGTTGATGAAAGACAAATACCATATGATCTCACCTATAAGTGGACTCTATTCAACAAAATACATTAATGGACAAAATGAACCACAGGCACGGAAACATGGAGCAGACTGAAAGTGACCAGAGGGGATGAGGAAAGAGGACAATGGTGGAAGGAAGGGGAAAGGACTAGACAAAGAACATGTATGAATGACCCGTGGACACGGACAACAGAGTGGGAATTGACTGTGGGAGCGGGGGGTGAAGGTGGGATGGGTGGAGGGGGGTAAAGGGAAGAACAGAGACAACTGTAATAGAATAAGCATGATTTGTAAATTAAAAAAATAAAATAAAAAACAATAAGGTTGAGGTTCAAAAGTAAATATTTAATATAAAAATGCTAATGTAAATAATGCTTGGATGAACATGGGAGGGAGGGGGCATCCGAAGAAAATGAAAACACTAATTCAAAGAGATATATGCACCTCTATGTTCACTGCAGCATCACTTACAATGGCTAAGATATGGAGGCAAGCTAAGTGTCCATCGTTAAATGAATGAATAAATAGTATGTGAGTTATATATACAATAGAAGGTTACTCGGTTATAAAAAATGAAATCCTGCCACTTGTAACCACATGGATAGACTTAGAGGGTATTATGTTAACTGAAATAAGGCAGACAGAAAAAGGCAATTATCATATGGTTTCAATTATATGTGGAATCTAAAAAACAAAACAAACAAG